CGTAGCCCAGCTAACCTTACTCTGCCTCATAACCCTGGCCCAGGCATGGTTATATCATATAGACTGTGTAACATCCCATCTCCCCTATGCCTTTAGACGGTTCTGTGTCTCCCTGGACGTAGGTCTGTATCACAGGTTGTAGTACAGGATGGTCCCGGGGTCAGATTGTGTTTGAGAAACACCCTGGGGTTGTGAGATTAATGACTGGGGCTGAGACATTCATGGGGCCCAAGGGACTTTGATTCCCAACTCCAACTGCAAATTACTTGTCATCCCATGGGTGCAGAAAGGGGCAGAGTTAAGGGTGCCCACGGAGAGGTTAAGGGTGCAGAGGAGCAGATAAAGGATGCCCATGGATGGGGCAGCATTCAGGATGCCCATGGAGGGGCAGAGTTAAGGATGCACGAAGGGTCACAGTTAAGGTTGTTGGCTGTCCCCTAGCCTGGACAGGCCATGTTGCTGTTCTGTACCTATAACCCGGCGCAAGAGCCATCTCCCCACGTCTCTCCCTAGAGCGGGCACCGGAGGAGTCTCCCCCGCTGAGGCTGGTGTCTTTGCAGAATGCCAACGGCTTTTGGGACCTGGACCCCCGCCTGGTCGCTGCGCTGGGGGTGAGCGAGACCGACACCAGGGGGAGGATGGCCAGTAAGGTGAGTGCAGGGGATGGAGGAGGGGGGAGAGACGGGGGGTGTGGGGGAAGGTGCCATGAGTTGGGCCTGTTCTCTGCTCCTAGATGAGACTGGGCATGACCCAGTCTGAAGGGTCGGGGTCTGAGAGCAACTGGATCAAATGACTCCTAAATCTGGAGCCCAGTGGGGGAGACAGGCCCACAACGGGGAGCTAGGAACCCCCTTGAAGGGGATCGGAGCATTGGATCTAGGGGGCCCAGGGCTGTGGGGGGACATGGGGAGGCCCAGGCTGGGTCCTCTCTGAGGCTGTCTCCCTACCCCCGGGCATCCCACCGGGCATCTGGGTAGGGGGTCCACAATGCTAGAGTGCGGGGGCTGGGAACCCTCTGAGTCTGGGGAAGGGGTGGGAGCGCTGAATTGGGGGGTCCCCAGAGCAGGGGAATGGGGATAGCACTGGGGGGGCAGAAGGGTCCCTAGGGCAGGGGGATGCAGGCAATGCTGGGAGGGGTGCCGGGGGGTTCCAGGGGCAGGGGGATGGGGGCAGCGCTCAGGAGGACAGGGGCTGGGCATTATCTCAGGCTGTCTCTCTCTTCCCCGCACAGGACGTGGCCCCCGGCGTCTGGGCCACAGTGCTGGCCGTGGTCTGGCTGCACTGCCGGGCAGCGTGACGAGTGGGAGCTGCTGGAGGCCAAGGCTGTGGGCTGGGTACGGGGCCAAGCAGATGAGAGGGGAGTGGGGGGTTGGGGACAGTGCCCAGGTCGTTGACCATAGAACCCCTGCCCCATAGCTCAGGCCCTTCCCCCCTCCCTCCCCCCGACCCCCCCCCCCCCCC